AAAACAAAATAAAAGGGCTAAGGTTGTAGCACAGCATGGTATAGATTCAATCCCTAGTACTACAAACAAACAAAAACACTGAAAAAACAACTACCTTTGCAGCAACTGGAGTTTTGCACACTATAAAATGGTATACTCAATTAGGAAACTGCCAGTATCTACTAGAGCTAAACATGTACATAGCTTTAGACTCACAGGTATAATACACCTCAATGAGATGTCCTTCTGTGTGTTCCAGGGTACTCACAATTATGTTCATGCAACCATATTCTTAACACCCCCCAATGTGAAAAGCATCCAAATCTTGTTCAACCATGGAGCAGCCAAATAAACTACAGTGTATTTGTAAGTGGGACACTATATAACAGTGAGTATGGCACATTATATAGCAATGACAACCTGAATAAAATGGATGAGCTTATAAATGAAATCCTAACTAAATGGTATGCACCAATGAATGCCATGCACATGAAGTTAAAAAAACAACAAACCAAGCTGAACGAATCCATGGTCACGAGAGTGTCTACAAGAGTGAACAGCAAACAAAAGGGGCATCTTTGGCAGACTTCTGGACTGCTGCTGTCTTGTTTTGGATAGTGGTTAAATGTCGTGTTCAGTTTGTGAAAATTCACTGAGCTGTTGACAGAGTGCTCTACTGTGTGTTGATGAGATTACACCTCAATAAAAAATTAAGAAATAAGATAAAACTTATGGCACAAAAACTTAAAACCGACAATTTTGTATAATGAGATTAAATCCCTTCTAAAAAGACTTAACACATTTAACACAATCTTAATATGTTTCCCCAACCTGAGATAAAACTGACATTCTTGAGCAGGACATGGTGCTGCATATTTGTAATCCCAGCACTTACAGGCTGAGGTAAGAGGGTTTTAAATTCAAGACCAAGCTGAGTTATTTGAGCATTTGAAGATCAGCCTGTACTTTAAAGTGATACTCTAACAAAAAAATCAAAACCAACCAAACAAAACCTTGAGGCTCTCTCCTCTCCACACTAGAGAATTGAATCCAGGGCTTTTGCACTGATGTAAGGCACAGCTCTTACTAGATTTTGGGTTTCCCTAAATTGCTCATTTCGCAGTCCTCCTGCCTCAGCTTCCCAGAGTGTGGAGTTATACATGATGTCATCATACCCAGTTCTCATGTTCTTTTTTTTTTTTTTTTTTTCGTGGAACCAGGGATTGAACTCAGGCCCTTGAGCTTGCCAGGGAAGCGCTTATTCTACTGAGTCATCTCCCTGGCCCCTCTCATGTTCTTTTATAGTGTCACAATACCATTGTCAATGAAAGAATGATGGGAAATGCTATTTTTGAGCAGAAGCATGTGAAAAGTTATTTACTATTTTTGTTTTTCTGAGACAGGATCTCGTTATGTAGTTTAGATTGGTCTTCAGCTTACTATGCAGCCCAGACTTTCCTTGAGCTCTTGGTGATCCTGTCTCAGTCTTCCTACTGCTGGGATTATAGGTGTATGCTACCATGCCAGGTTTAAAGGTGTTCATTATGGTTTCTTTGGCACAGTAGCAAAGAATTAAGTGAACCTAAACATTGGCTAAACACTTTCCCATTAAAAATTATTTAGAGCACTCCTAATCTGTCAGTCATAGGGCACAAAAAATGCTAGAGTCAATGACAAATTTTCAGTTGGTCAATTAAAATGTTCCTATTGAGGATTTGTTACACTTGATAATGTCAACCTATAGGTTAATCTCATTCTATTTCTCCATGAATTTATTCCTACAAATACAGAAACACAATACTATTATGACAGTTTCCTTGTGTCATCAAAGAACTCAGGAAAGTGTGATAAAGTAATTTTCCTATGACTTTGCCTAACAGTTTCATCCCAAGGGTCACTTTCTTAAACTCATGCAGTCATGCAAATGCACAGTCCAGTTTAGGATTAGCAGAAGTCATAGTGATGTAAGGCTGAGTACAGTGTCTGCTTTAAGGTTAGGAAAGAGAATGTGTTTGGAAACTGGTTTGACTATCCTTGTGTGAATAAGAGCTTTTCAATATTTTTGTGAAAACCCTGGAAGAAAAACAAAACAAAACAACTCAGTAGTAAAAACTCCTTAATTATTGTGATTTACTACCTATGTAAATGCCCAAAGAAGCAATTATATTATTAAGTTAAATTTTATCATCTTATTTGGTAGCCCTTTACAAAGGTTCAAAATGCAAAGTTAAAATCCATTTCAGATGAAAACAGACAATGCAGGGTAAATGAATGCTTATTTATGTACCAACGCTCAATAAGCCTAAGAAGACATCAGGAACTACAGTAGAGGCACGAGCTCCACTAGTGCTCCTGGCTGCAGGTATGGCAACACCGAGGTGAGTATGACGATCCCTGTCCTCAAGGAGCCTCAGTCTAGTAGGGTGGAGACATACTAGACTGTGAGCTCCTCGAGGGCAGGAAAAGTGCTTCGGTCATCTATGCCCCAGTGACCAGCACCAGGCTCAACAGCATTTGTGGAATCGAATTGAGTGCAGGAAGCAGCCATCTGTGACAGCCTGGGCTAAGTACAGGAACACAGAGCACTGGAGACTCTTGGGATAGCCTGGTTAGCTGCAAAGTTACAGAAGAGCCAGTGCAGGAAAGAGGCCAGAACAGATGGGGAGGATCTCCACAAGCTGGAGGAGGCATTCCAGGTTGAGGCAGGGAATGAGTATAGCCACGGCATGTGAAAAGGGTGGGAAGAAGTTTCCCAGCCATAACTGAAGTAGACCTAAATGCTATCTGCAAGACTCTGCGTGAACGAGAGTGGAGACAGGAACGTACTGGAAACTGTTTTGAGCAGGGAAGTTACCTTTCATAGTGATTTTTCTAGAAGAATGACTGAGTCAGTTACACCAGACAGATGGGAGGCAAGTCAGGGGGAGGAAGAACTGGGTTAGAAGACATGGTAACAGCTCTGCTTTTCTGATACCACAATGCCTACCTGGCAATTTAAAATGTATGTTTGGGATTTGTGAGAAAAGGCAGGACCAGAGCTAAAGATAACAGGAGAGGCAGAGCTCATGAATAAGCCAGACCATTGGGAAGGGTACTGAGGACATGCAGGAGGCTGAGAACAGAGACCTGGCTAACACCTGGACTGTATAAGGATGGAGGGATGGCAAGTAGGACATAGAGGATGGCTGGCAGGGAAGTTGATGAATTGAGGCTGATACCAAAACAGAGGGCATTTCAAAGGCTAACAAGTTCTGACACATCAAAGAGGAGCAGATTTCTGAAAAAACATGAAGTAAAACATGTTCAAAATCAGTTGGATTCTTTTTTTTTTGGCTGGCTCAGGCTGCTTTAAGGGTGGGTCTGGTGAGGCATGTGGTGCTGGGGATTGAACCACAGTCACTTGCCTGACTGATTTTGCTCAAGAAGTTGCTTTAGACAACTGAGCTAAACCGCCACCCCCCAAAATCAGTTGTAATAGTGATAGAACATGTGAATAACAGAACAATTAATCAAGACAATAGAAATTTTCAGATTGAAGAAAACTGCGGAGAGAGAAGAATGTTGCTGTCTAGAGACACCTGATAACCTACCATGCACAAAGGAGCACAGAATTGTCCTATGGGCCAGGGAACCAGCCTGTGGGTGAAAGCAAGGGGACCTTGCTTTCAATGTGTGGCTGGTCTTTTGGAGCACTGTTTTCGCTGTACACTTAAAAGTACTGTGACTTCTGTCCTTAGTCCTGGACAGGAAGCTCTCTGGAGCAAGACTAGGTTTGGTCATTGTAAACCCACTGAACCTATCTCAGAACACAAACATGCTCAGCAAGCACTGGATAACCAGATGAGTCATTTATACTTCTTCTAATATGTCCTACTTCTCCTCAGATGCTCCGTATTCCTCTGGCACTGGCTAAGAAGGGCAAGTCAAATGAGCTTCCAGGGTTTTCTGGACCCTAATATTCTGATTTTTTTTGAAAAAAGATTGAAATATAGCAAGCTAATAAAAAACTCATACAAAATTAGGAAGTCCTCCAAATGTGGAGAGGCAATATGGTACACAATGAACCACAAAGAATGTTTGTATAATAAAGCTCTTTGTGCCCACATATCATGTTAAAACAGCATATATATATATATATATATATATATACACACACACACATACATACATACATAAAGGTATTAGCTAACAATTTAGATGATGATTCAAATCAATTCAACAAACATTTACTGGATGCCTACATGGTGCCAGTCCTAGGCTCTAAGCTTGGCACTGGTCTACAGAAATGAGACATGGTGATGAGCTGAGGGGAGCTGCAGACTTGGACAAACAAACCAAGACACCTCCCTAGGGCAGGCAACAAGTAGACAGGGCAGACATTTCTATGAGGGACTTGGTATACATGTGGTCCCTATGTGACCCCAGGGGACAAGGTATGCTAGAGGCCTGGGGTCTGACAGTATTTAGTATAAAGTGAGAGCCACCAAACAGCAATGGATTTTATTTATTTTATTTTTATTTTTTTTCAGCAATGGATTTTAAAATACAACGACAAAAGTACCAAAGGAGGGGTATTTCTCTGGGGCACGTGGTTGATTACGGAAATTTTCTGAAAGGTAGTGTATGGAGGCTAGATCAGGGGGCAAAGCCACTTGGCATGTAGAAGGTAGCGAGTTGCACCAGGAAACTTCCACAGAAATTGCTAGCTCACAAAGTACCAAGAAGTGAAGGGGTTGGGTAAAAGGAGATTTAAGCAGGAACAAAATAATTATGGGTGTGTTGTGCCATGCTAAGTTAGAAGCTAGGACAGACAGAACTTCATTAAGATTTTAAGATATAATTCACTAAAGACTCTAGCTAGGTACAGACAAAAGTAAATCAAATTTTAAAATGCCTTTTAAGAAGAAAGGGTGCAGCCTTAGATGTACTGATAAGATGACCTTAAAATGCAAAGATTACAAAGGAGCAGTAGTAAGATCTGCTCCCCACCCCACCCCAGGTCCTTTTCACCCCTCTCCTACCTGAGCTGAGCTTTAAGTTCAGTAAACCTGGGCCGTCTGCTGGGATCATAGGCCCAGCATTTCGTCATAAGGCTGTAGAGGGTAGGAGGACAATTTGGAGGCATTGGTAATCTTTCCCCATTTTCAATTCGACCAATCACATCATTGTTCTTCACTCCTTGAAAAGGCTTCACACCATGCATCAGTATCTCCCACATACATACACCTGTGAAGTGGGAATGAAAACAGCAGTGAGCTCAGCAGGAAGTGGAATTCCTCGGTTCCAGGAATAGCTCCACAGCTGGCACCAGAGAATCAGCAGTGAAGTTTGGGTTAACTCATCTAACCAAAGCATCATTACATTGACTCCAATATGAAGTAAGAACAGCAATAATTTAACACGGTGTGAGTAATAAAATGTTGAAGAGAAAGCTTCAGGTTTACTCCTCTGAAAATCTTATATTAGAAAGTGGCCCGTTAGCTATAGTGATATTTCACTGCCTGACAAACCAGTTTAAGAAAAGCTGAATGACTTTTAGATCTACTCTCTCCCTCAACTTCAGTCCAGTCTAATTATAATTATTGGAACTCAATTGAGACCTAACAAAGAAAATACTTAAGTATTTTAAGTATTAAAATTTAAGATTTAAGTCTTAAATTTTTAGAAAGGTCAGTTATCTTGCCTAGGTGCATAATAACATTATTGCCTGGTTTTCTGCATTGTCTTCATGTAGCAAAGTTGTCAACTTCGCTGCGTTGCAGTGATCTTGCACACATGACACCACAGCTCAACCTCACGAAGTTTATTTGCACTCTATCTTTGATAAATCAACTAATTGCTTTCCTACTATCTTCTGAATAATCCTGAAGAAGTCACCTTTCAAGTCAACAAACACACACAACCACCCCTAACACTGACCATAATGACGTAATACAGTAAGAAAGGAATGCACCTTCTACTAGCAATCTGCGATAGGTGCTCTGTGCTGTGGCTATCCTAGATCTCTCACTGTCTCCCAAACAGGTTGCAGTGCGCGTGGGCTGGAGTTACACTATGTGTTACATGATACTTTCTTCATAAACTTGCCTTTTTGGAGGTACATTTGTGATGCAGTTTTTCTATGAAGCTGTTTCTGATTCTCCTCTGGTAACACTGTCATTTTAAGTTTACTTCTTTTTTTTTTTTTTTTTGGCGGAACCGGGGATTGAACTCAGATCCTTGCGTTTGCCGGTCAAGTGCTTATCCTGAGCCATCTCCCCGGCCCCTTAAGTTTACTTCTGTCATAAAATGCACACTATACAAATGACAACCGAGAGTCAGGCACAGTGGCACATGGCTATAATCCCAAGCAGGAAGGACATGAATTTGAAGCCAGGTGGGTTACACAGAGACCCGGAATCAAAAAACCAAAGATACTTTGAAGAGACAAACTGTGATTTTATAGAAGGAAATGAAAGAGGCAAGTCATGTCAAAGTACATTAAATTTTATTATTATTATTTATTATTATTTTTAATTTTAGGGAAGGGTCTACAGGGTACTCAGGGTCTCATTACTAGACTGGACTTGTAGTGATCCGCCAAGTATATTAAATCCTAAAAATGGCTTTAAATTTAGGAGTTTTCACATAAAAAATATCTGAAAAACAGGGTGCCTAGGTGCTGCTCTGCTCACAAGAAATCCTGATATTATTATCAAGGCTAGTTATGATTTCTTGAGAATTTAATAGATTTCTAGCACCTTTCTTAGAAATTTATACATATTATTCTTAATCCTCACAATAAACTTACACTTCTTTAAATATTATACTATATAATCAAATCTAGCATATAACGATTATAGAAAGCACCATTACATCACATAACGAAGCAAACCTAATCACAATATAATCTCAGTGCTTTAAGTTGTATATTTTATTCTTATCAGAAGAGCTCTTTTAAGCTCATCTGGACGTGAAAGTAACAATAGGAACAGACAAAGTCAACACAAATCCAGGCAAGGATAACCGTATCAGTGACTGAAATTAAAGCTGAATGCAAAATGCTACTGGTTTAAGATATGCACAGTACTAGAAATGGTAAAATGAGGAAAAATAAGCATTTTAGAATCTCTGAAATGGAAGACCTTGTTTTGTGGGTTACACAGCTCACAAATGCATATCTTACTGTGAACTAGTGTCAACTGCAACCAGAATCTCTTGCTGATCAGGAAACATGACTTCTTCCCTACTTGAACATTCTTTCCTTTTCTTAATTACCAATCTGTGCATTCTAAAGTTGCTAATTATTAATAACAAGTAAATAGAAAAAATCCACTTATTTGATAAATATGAAGTTACTTTTATTTATATAAAAATACATAAATTTAACAGGACATCTTCTCTGAGGCAGTTCTAACCTGGCAGAGATGGTTTGCAAACAAGACTATTTACAAGATAACACATGAACACTGTGACATGGAGAAGCTCAGGGAATGCAGAAAAAGAAAGTTGGTATCTGGTCAAGACAGCTGATACATAAGGCATCATGGAAGAATGGACATTTGAGGTTAGATGGCCTTTCAACTGGAAAAGAAAGTGAAAAGATAAGGTATTCCAGATAGGAGTAACACTGGAAAGGTGAACTCACAAAAAGAAGAGTAGTCATTTTACAATTTGGATAAAGCAGTTTAAGTACAAAGTATAGATGAGCTAGAGATCCCCTGTAAACTGGTTAGGAGGTACACCAATGATCTAGAGCAGGATGAAGAAGAAACACCTTGAGGCAACGGAAGGGACAGATCAGACATAAAAGATAAGCAGCTATGAAAAGACAAGGGCCAGCTCTCATGCTTAGAGACAGGCAGATACAGTCAGGAGAGGAAGTCTGAGTGCAGACCCTCTGGAGTGAAGGCACCATCAGAGCCAGGAGGACACGTTAGGTGTTAAGTCCTTCACACTACAGACACACTGAAACTCAGAGGACACAGGAGAGAAAAGGGAAACAGACAGGTATCACAGTGTGGGGGATAAAAGATAGCAGTAGGGAACAGTGGGTAAGAGTGAGGTTCCAACAACACTGGAGCACTGCACAAGTATGACCCAGCCATTGCCTAGAACTTGCTCTATTGGTTAGTAGTCTATGTTTCTGAGGTATCCCTGGGCAAGGAAGTGGTCACGTTAGGAGTGGCAAAGCAACCTATATATTCAGAAAGAAATCATACTATGCTTATTTTGTAGAATATATAAAATATATATTTTTAAAATACAAAACTTAAAAAATACTCACCAAACATCCATACGTCACTAGCTGAGGTAAAACGTCGAAAATTGATCGACTCTGGAGCCATCCATTTAATAGGCAATTTTCCTTTGGAAGCTGGAAGATTAATTTTAGAAAATAAGTTTTCCCTGTTATGTGAACCTAAGAGAGCTTTTCAGTATCAAAATAAAAAAAAACTTCAACTATTTGACCCTTTGGATGCTTTATTATTGCTCTGGTTTCTTACCTTTGTAGTAAGTACTATCTTCCATGTATCGGGATAACCCAAAGTCTCCTAACTTCACACAATCATTTGAGGACACCAAGACATTCCGAGCAGCAATGTCCCTGATAAGGAATAAATTTTAACACAATAAAATGAATGAAATCCCCCAAACTTATCTATGTTATATAAAGATACACCAGTAGGTTATTTTTAAAATCAGACAGCTTATATACAATGGTGAACATATTTATTAAGTTAAAAAATATATATTCTACTTCATATATGTGCTTTTGGGTAGATATTTAGTCATGATTATGTTAGTAATTATTTTCAATGATGGTTCTTTTTTGGTGGAACCAGGGATTGAACTCAGGCCCTTGTGCCTGCCAGGAAGATAGCTCAGTAGCTATTACAGACCTACAAGCTATAAAAAGAAATGAACAGAAGTTCTGCAGAATGTCAATAGATGTCACTAGTAACACTGTAGTATCCTAGAAAGTCCTGAGACATTTAAATGTATTTTGGGAACAATTTACACATTCATTGATCTAGTACCAAATAAAGTCTATTGATTAATTTGTGAAAGAGAGATGTGGTTAAAAATCTTTTAACCACGTTATTAACATGCCATGATACTTCATTCTGAAAGGATGTAACATGCATGACTTGTGAGTGACTGTACAGAAGAAAATGGCACAAATGTATCTATGGGGCACAGTAAATAATCTCCCACTCTCATCTATTGCTCCCCCTGCTCACGCAGCAGTTTAACAGCTTCATGACTGTCTTACCTGTGTACAAATCTTTTGCTCTCCAGATATGCAAGCGCTGTACTGAGCTGATAGGCATACAGGATCAAAGATGCCAGATCCAAGCTGTATTTCCTCACTTGTAAAAATGACCTCAGCTTTTGGAAAAATGGTCAAAAGAGAGAAACAATCAGAGACACACTTGAAAACAAACAAACAAAGCCAACCAACCAAACCAACAAAAAACAAAAACAAATTGACAGCAAAAGGCTACAATCAATAATGTGATCTTTTCCAAAGATATTCCATTCCCAGTCTGTGGATTGAACCCAGGGCCTTGCACAATGCTAGGCAAGCACTCTAACACTGAGCTACAGCCCTAGCCTTCCAAATTCATATCTAATAAGAGGATAGATTCAATTCTTCCTTAATTAAAAACTCTAACAAATGAAACATTTTTAACTTAGATATTACAGTCATCTTTATTGAAATGACATTGTAAAATTAGAATGCTTATGACTATAGACAAATTTCAAAAAAGAGAGTCTTCCTCAATTTTCTACTCCACTGTTTGAATGTAGAAGGTAAACTGGTCACAGACTGAACATTTGTCCCACTTGGCTTAGTAGTCCCTATTGTTGCCATTAATTTAGCTAAATACTACCATAGACAAAAAAGGCACCTGAATTTATTAACACCCTAATTCTACAAAATCAATAAGGTAAACACTTAGCAGATTTTAAGTCATAGGAATTACCAAATTCTCCAAAGGAAAAAAAAAAAATCAAAACAAAAAACCACCAACAAAACAAAACAAAAAAACCCTTGTGAATAAAAAATAAACTTAAATTTTTCTATTTCACTTAAAAACGTAGGGCAGAAGGAAGGGTGTGTTTGATGATAAAAACTGAATGCTGACCTGTCTCCCTGCCTGGTTGTCTGATTCAGCATGCTTGCTTTGGGTAGGGTGCATGAATCTGCATTTCTAGTAGTTTCCAGGTAATGGTGATGACTTATTAAAAGTTTCTATACTTTGAGAATTTCAACAAGGGCTACTGACATTGTCATTACTCAGACTTTTCAAAGAAACTATGACTAATAGCAGTTGGTCTGGAAGATACTGCAAAATAATAATTTGCTTATTGGATTGAGCCAGGGTCTTGCTATGTAGTTCAAGCTGGCCTTAAATTCATTGATCCTTCTGCCTTGGTATCCTGAGTGCTAGAATTATAGGCATGTACTATGAAGCCTGACTGTAAGTTGTATTCTATAAAAGCCTCAAGAAACTGTTGTGATTTATCTAATTTCAACATTAATGTACCCAAAATTAAGATTGTTTCATATTTAATTCATTGAGCTAGTTCTTTATGCAACAATCAAAATGAACTACTTGGTAAGCTGTCGCTACCAGTTCCTAAAAAAATATCTGGATGAAAAAGATAACGTTGCCAGTATTAGGTGAAGGGAACTTAAGGATAAGAGTTTTTTATTTTTAGAGACAAGGTCGTAGAGTATTTCTCTAGATGTACAAGGCCTTGTTTTAATCTCCTATAACATATACACACAAAAAATTTCTGTAACAACAACCACACAATGATGACAACTTCTAGGCTCAAGTAATCCACCCAATTCTGCTTCCCTAGAAGGCAAGTTCCACCACACCTGGCTCAATGAGAAAGGTATGTACAATCATATTCTCAGAATCAAGACCATACATAATCCTCAATAAAAACCCTTCTAAAAATACAAGAAATCCATACTTCCTTTTCTGAAGTGCAGGATATCAAACTCCAAATGCAGATGAAATGAATACAACTTTTGAAACTACTGCTTAGTCACCAACCCAGACAGGCCTGGAGATCACAGTACCTCTCCCAACGTGCATAGCTCCATTATTATCCAGACAGGATTCTCTGTTATCACGCCAATCAGCTTCACAATATGAGGATGGTCAAACTGCCGCATTGTTACTAGGGAAAAAAGTTGTCCCCAGTTACTCTTTTTATAACGGTGAGTTTTTCTAAGGATTGGTTTAATTAAAACACAAAACAAAGTTGATGGTTTGGAGACTCTGAGCCCAATACCTTGGGTTAGTTTTGCTTAACTCTAAGGGGGAAAACACTGACACAGAAAGGCCCTTTCTGCTATTGAGGTACAGAATAACCACAACAGCCAACTCATGCCAAGGGAAATAACGGGTGAAAGAAAATCCATTCTTAATCTCCAGCAGAGACTACAGTAAGAAACAGAGCACAGTCTCCTCCCACAGGGCCCTCCAGCAGACAACAGTGGATAACCTGGGGGGTCCAGGGATGGGCCATGACCTCTGTCCCACAGGTCCTTAGATCTCTTGTTGTGACTGCCCACTGGCTGGGCCCAGGCTATCAGGCACAGGTGAACTGCTCTCCCAACCCACTTCAAAGACCTGATAGCAGTGGCAGCTTTGGAGCTGGGAACCCTTAGGCTGTAGGGTTTCCTGTCCTAATCCTGCTGGCCTAAATAAAGCCCCCACCAGCTGTCAAAGACAGTGTCTTGCAGTGGCTGCAGTGTGGCATGGTGAGAATGGTGGCCTCCTAACTATCACAGAGGGCCATTACAAGGGCCTTAGAAGGTGGGTCTGAAAACTTGGCCATATTAAGTCATAGAACTGTGTAGATTTGGGACCTTGGGTGATTATTATGTCCCAGTTGGACTCTAATTCCTTGCAACAAGGATGAATTAAGACTTTATTCATCTTGGAAGGTTAGGAAGCTCAGGCTGAGGATAGGTGGAATGGCTAGTGGGCCATGGACAGTTGCCAAAGAGAAAATGTAAAGTAACATTTCATTTTTGGCTAATTAGAAATGCTCTCCACCCTTTAGGAAGATTTACTAGCCATTTTTAGAAAGGCTGTAGGATAAAACTGCTCAACACCTCCCTCCCAATGTTTTAAAAGAAAATTTAATGCATGTGGACAACAAGATGAAAAGAAGCTGCCAAAATAGGATAAAGTAGAGCCAGAAAAGTCACGTCTTGGAAATCACCTTGTTTTAAAAAAATGACAGAAAAGGACATCTTCTGGAAATGACTTTAAATGGAGTCTATTACACCATGTGGAAGGATGACACTAGGTGTGATACTTGTCCACGTTTGTTCTGTGGGTTAGTACTAAACGCCCCCCCCCCAAAAAAAAAAAAAAAAAAAAAACCAAAGGAAAGGGATACTGAAGCAAGTGTGGGAACAGAGCTGTTCCTTGGGAGTCAGTTTAAAGACTAAAGTAGCAAAATTTGCCAATTAAAAGCTGGCAGATTTGCTGCTCTTGATAGGGGGTATCAGCAGCCCATGTCTGTGGTTGCTTAGGTATGGTTATGTTGAGTTCAGAGCACTAGGCATATGCTCTTTTCCAACATAGCCAGAGGTCCAGGTTCAGCAACTTGACCCTAATACAACCTAGTTGCCAACAGGTTAGAGAACATGGTAGAGAAGACAGTGAGAAACGAAGGTCCAATATCAGACTGATTACATATAGAAGATGTTGTTCATACTGTAACCAGTTTTGTGTATACACTTTAAGGATCCTTACTATGTACCTATATACATTTGACAATGTTAAAAGTACTTTGTTGAAATATCTGTCTTTCTAGATATTCTTAAGTGTCTGATACATGTTTAAAAGTGGAAGTACTAAATTAATGCACTATCTAACTTTTTGTTAAATGCACATTCTGTTGGGCAAATAGGCATACTCCCTCTTGCACAGTACTCAGTGTGCTTATGCACTGGTTCTTGGAAGAGAAGGAAATGCAGAATGCTGTGCTAGTGAACTTACACTGAGGCAAGTTGCCTTTGTCCCTTATGTCAGTGTATTTTTTTTTTTTTTTATTTTGCTGTGTATTTAGGAGACGTAAAGAACAAATGAGTCCTTTATAACATCTACTCTTCATAGATGTTAAAAGACTGCCAGTTTTGACAAAAGTAGAGTTGGTGAAATAAATTTTGTACATTTTGTGTTAAATTCCTAGGAAAGATTGTCACCTGAAAATTTGAGCATTTTAGTCCATCAGTTTAGTGGAGAAAGGAAGGATTCTTGACTAGAACTCTTATTTTAAAGATGCTTTCAACTTGTTACATGTGTGCAGTTTAATTAAGACTGCTGTGTATACAGAACAAATAAACTGAGTCTTCAAACATCTAGTCTTAACTACACGTTTTGAAGTGCCCACTGCATGCTAAATGTAAAGGCAGTAAAATCCAACTTTGATAATATCTTTTTGCTAAAATTCACACAAAATTAAAAAAAATAAAATTCATACAAAATAATTGTCTTTTTGGAAGGGAATTGTTAAACCATTTCTTGAGCAACATGGAAATGTCTGTACTTGTTTTTGGATCAGGAGGGCGTGAAGGGACATTTTCAGTATGTTACTATGTTTGTATTTGGAGATTTTCAGACTTTGTTTTTCTGTATGTTTTGAGTTGTGTCTTATTGTACATACTGTGTATACAACAGAAAATAGGTACAAATTTTGCAACTGTAATTATAACTCGGCCAAAATGTCTATCTGGAGGTCTCTTGCTATTTTTATATTCAGTGAAAGTTTTGCTTGCAAGAAAAGCAGGATTGGGTGGCCAGATAGCTCAGCAGATTAAAGCAGCTGCTTAGGCAGATGCAGGGGTCAGGGGTTCAATCCCTAGCCTACTGTGCCAGGCCCCGTCCTTGGGCATGCGGAGATGACGAATGAGACCGGGCATGGTGGTACGTGCCTGTAATTTCAGGGATTGGGAGGCTGAAAAATAGGAGGATCACTATGAGTCTGATCTGTGTAGTGAGACCCTG